CTGATCAGCTGTTTGTCGGCTCAGCGTGGCAGCCATGTAAATGTAAATGAAGCCGCGATCATTTAAATCGCGGCTTCATTTGCCTTTGCTGAACAAACAAATCTACATTCCTCTGCCGACAGAGGCATGTAGTTTAGACGTACCCTGAAAGAATTGGGCATGTGTAGTTTAGAAAAGAGAAGACTGAGAGGGGACAAGATAGCAGTTTTCAAGAATCCAGAAGGGTGTTATACGGAGGAGGGAGAAAAATTGTTCTCCTTGGCCTCTGAGGATAGAACAAGAAGCAATGGGCTTAAATTGCAGAAGAGAAGTTTAGGTTGGCCATTGGGAAGAACTTCCCAACTGTCAGGCTGGTTAAACACCGGAATAAGTTGCCTAGGGAGGTTGTGGAATCTCCATCGCTGGAGATATTTAAGAGCAGGTGGGATAGACACCTGTGAGGGATGATCTAGATCAGTGCTACTCAACACGCAGGCCGTGGACCACATGCGGCCGGTGGCCTGTTCGTTTGCGGCCCGCAGGTGGGAACCAAAACAAAAAAGTCATCAATATCATGGATTTCTGTTGATATGTGTTTTAGTAGATAAATTCCTGGAGTGTCATTGTGTAACCACCACCAAGGTGGATTTGAACTTGGGAAGCTGACTATAGGAGCCTCTACCCTCTGAGCTAAAAGCCTACTGTTTCCTATATATGGTTGTGACTACTTTCTTCCACTATTTGATCTGAGGAAGTGGGTCTGGCCCACGAAAGCTCATCATCTAATAAACCATCTTGTTAGACTTTAAAGTGCTACATTGTCCTGCATTTTGCTACTGTTTCCTAGACCATGTTATAGAGGTCTCTTGATCTTAACTGTTGCAGTGGTCTAGGTGCCACTTGCAGTACTCAGTAACCACACTAGGGCTACGTCTACATTGGCAAGATTTTGCGCAAATACTTTTAACGCAAGAGTTTTTGCGTTAAAATATTTTCTCAAGAGAGCATCTACACTGGCATGTGCTTTTGCGCAAAAGCATCCGTGCCAGTGTAGACGCTCTCTTGCGCAAGAAAGCTCCGATGGCCATTTTAGCCATCGGACTTTCTTGCGCAAGAAATTCATGTTGCCTGTCTACACTGGCATCTTGCACAAGAACACTTGTGCAAGAACACTTGTGCAAGAGGGCTTATTCCTGAGCGGGAGCATCATAGTTCTTGTGCAAGAAGCCCTGATTTCTTACATTAGAATGTCAGTATTCTTGCGCAAGAACTCGCGGCCAGTGTAGACAGGCGGCAAGTTTTTGTGCAAAAGCGGTCGCTTTTGTGCAAAATCTTGCCAATGTAGCACAGCCTAGGTGTGTGGGTTACAATAACTCATTAAAAGTGCTGGAAACTGGGTAAATATTGCATTTTATTAATATTAGCAGAACTGACTTAAATGGGGCCTGTGTGTTGTGTAGTTTTGCCTTAATCTTTGTATTCATGCCCATCAATGTGAAAGAAGCTATTTGCATAGATTTGCATATATATTTGCAGGTATATGCAACCACACTTAAGTTGCGGCCCTCGCTGGGAGTATCACTGTGGCCCCCGGGGCTTCCAAAGTTGAGTAGCCCCGATCTAGATGATGCTTGGCCCTGCCATGAGGGCAGGGGACTAGACTTGGTGACCTTTCGGGGTCCCTTCCAGTTCTAGTGTTCCGTGATTCTATGGAGGAGCGGTCAGGGCCGGTGTTCTAGGCCTCTAACCGCTGTGAGGTTTGTGGGACTGTCCCGCTTTGCCCCCCACACACCCATCCTTATATTTCCCAAGCTTCAGGAGTAGCCAAGTTAGTTTGTTACAACCAACTTTCATCACGATTGAGTCCATTAGGTAGGGCATTGCTGGCATTTGATGGCCCTACTGCTGTCTGTATTGGACAAACTGGACAGTCTCTGCGGGAAAGAATCAATGGACACAAATCAGATATACGTAAAGGAAACATACAGAAACCTATGGGGAACACTTCACTCTTCCGAATCACTGTTTAAAAGATCTTCAAGTAGCTGTCTTGTCTGCCTGCCCGCCCCTCTGATGCCGTTGGCGGAGGGGTGCAAACCCTGAGAGCTAGGCTCCAACAACACCAGCATTCTCTGTACGCTGAGTGCTTGGGCGGCCACCCAGGAGAGAGTCCAATGACGCGCAGACTGATGAGCAGAGCGCCCATAGCCGGCAACCTGTGTTTCTACTGGTGGTGCACATCTGCACGTGCGCTGGTGAACACAACAAAATTTATTCTGCACAGGAATAGGAAAAATTAGAGGGAACATTGACCAACATCACTCAAATGGGGCCCTTCCACTTCCATTTACAAAGGGCAGAAGGGGCCAAAGCCATGAGCAGTGTCGTGTCCTGCCTTAACCACCTGAAATGTTGGGGACTGCGGGGGGGAGTTCACGGTGCAATACCGAGATTAAACTCAGCCGCATTACAGAACCAGAGGCACAGGTAGGCAGTGGAATGGATGTAGAACCTGAATTTGCCCATCCCGCCAGCAGAGGGCCTGGTCTCCTAGACTGGGGGTCGAGGCACCTTGCCAAAAGACATCCCGTACCTCCAGCTAAAAATACCGACTGTCAATCTGTGCATCTATGACCTCCCACCAGCATGAAATTCACTAAGCACACCCTCCTCAAGTAGCCTGTGCAGTTTCCCGTTAGTGTGGCAGGGGGGGGGGGTCAAATTAGTGCCGGGGGTCTGGGAGCGTCCACAATTATATATTAACCACTCAGCCACCCAGGGGAGAAGACACAAGGGAAGAGGCTTCCAAAGGAAAAGCGGAGCTTTCGGGGAGCAGAGGCCTCTCGCGGTGCGATGGGGAGAGCCGCGGTCTACCTCCTGGCTGTGTTTGCGCTCAGCCTGCCAGCTGTGTCTCACGGCCAGCCGCTGTAAGTAACCTCGGGGTTCTGGAGCAGTGATTAGAGGGGAGCAGAGCGTATGTGTGGGGAAGGAGTGTTTCCCTGAAAAGATCCTGGCCAAAACTCACAATAGGAGATTGGGGGGATGTTGTTTTTAAGGCTACGTCTACACTGCAGCGCTATTTCGGGATACCGGAAAGTATCCCGAAATAGCTATTCTGCATCTTCTGAGCACGCCGTTCTTTCGAAATATTACAGGCTCGCTATTTCGACATCCCTGTAAACCTCGTTGCACGCAGAGCAGGGGACGTTTCAGACTAGCGCTGTATTTCGAAATAAGTGCCGCGCAGACCGCGCCAAATGTGGAAAAAGGCTGTTTCGAAATTGATGCGAAATGAGCGACGCCATTTGCGTGGCTCCGATGGCGCCGCTTATTTCAAGCTACGGGCGCAGGGTAGATGCATCTGAAGTGTCCAACTGCACGCTTCCTTTAGAGGCCTGATGTTAAGAGGGGGGTGGGGTGCTCTAAAACTCAGGGTCACCAAATCACTCCAAATCTGGTCCCTAAACATGGCCTGCCACGAGTCAGGCCCTGAAAGTCACGTGACACTCTCAGGATTTGTATAAAACCAGCAGGCGGTGGCTTCTTTTTATTCGTCTCTTGGTTCCCAAGCCTTGGAGGGTCCGGGCTTGGTCTGCGTTTCGAAGCTTCCGTTCCCCAATACGCCGGGCTAGAAACTGGCATTTGATGTCAGTGAAAGCAGAGAGCTTCCCACATTTGCCATGACTCCGGGAAGCTGGTGCTTCAAGGGCCGGGGTCAGCCAACCCCAGTTACCACACACCTGAGCAGAGAGATCGTTGCTTTCCCTATGAAGCGCTTCGAGCTGCAGGAATGTGGAGAGAGGGGAATTTCTAGGCAGGTAGCATAGAGGCTGTAGCGTGTGAGTTAACTCCCGTAGAACCAGGGGCGGCTTGGGGGAACAGGACAACAGGTAGGAAAATCTGGGAGCCACTTGCTAGGAGATGCACAGGAGGAAAGCCTGGGGAGCTTTATTTTGAACTGCTTGTTAATTTAGTAAACCCCGAGATGGGGTGTGAATGGATGACAGGTTCAGGAGTTACTGCAGCCTCTTGGAAAAGGGAAATTGAGGCAGGGGGCTGCCTGCGGGGCTGCTTTTAGTCGAGGGAGTGCATGAGAGGAGGCTGCGTCACAACAGGGCTGTGGCAATGGGACTGTCCAAGCACCGAATGTTTCGCAAGGTGCAAAGAACTTGGCAAGAATTTTGTGTCCCTGAAATTTACCCCTTGAAATTGGCAAGAAATTCAAAGCCAAAGCTTAAAAGCCGAGGCAAGCAGCCTGCAAATACTCAGATGGTTAACTTTCCAATCCTAACCACCACTGTCCCCCACCCCCTACCCCGGCTTGCATTGCTCTCTGGGGCACAGACTGTATCTTTGTGATATGGACCGATCGCACCTACCACCTGGAATCTACGATTCTCCTCTGGGCCCTCCAAATAAATAATCCCATTGTAAGATCAGAGCAGCAGGAGCTTCTTGGGTTTTTGTTCGTACAGCACCTAGAACGATGGTCATGTGCTCATACAATAGCCCTAGTGAATAATCGGTTCTTGCAGATCGCTGCCCTGTAACGTTGGCTTCTCTCATTGCAAAAGAAAAGGGGAAAAGATACGTTGCAGCCCCCCCAGGAGAACACCCGCAACTGGGTCACCTCCGCTACTCCCTGGCACCGTGCCGGGACTGGGGGCCAGGAGCGCCCCCTATTGGCTGGGGGGGGCTGGGGACAACTCTGGCCAAGCGACGCTGGGATGGTGCCAGGTTGGGGCTTGTCCTGTGCCCCCTGCTGCATGTTTCTCTACACCCCCTATGGGGGTGCGTCCCACAGTTTGGGGGCCATTCTATTGAGCCATTAAAACGATTTCCTGGAGAAACCTGGTAGCTCCTGGGAGGTCTCCCACCCAACCTCCGACCACCAGACCCCGGTTGCTAACCTGATACCAGTAAAGATCGCTTGTCAAGATAGCCAAGCAACCCAGGCGGAGAGGGACGGAGGCTGGCTGACTCCGCTCTACCATCTCCTCCCTTCCCTTCCCAGAGGCACCCTGATCGCCCCGAGCGTCCTGCGGGTGGAGAGCGAAGAGATGGTCGTGGTGGAAGCCCACGGCCACCCTGGCCCGCTCGAGGTGACGATCACCGTGTCCGACTTCCCCCAGAGGAAGAGTGCCCTGGTTACGACCACCATCATCCTGAACGCTGGGAACGGCATGATGAACTCTGCCAAAATAAAGGTGAGGCTGGTGGGAAGCTAAAGCTTAGCTGTGGGAGGGGGACCCTGACCTCTCTCATATCAGTAGAGCCCTACAAAGTCACGGCCAGGAAACATGCACCAAGGACCATGAAATCTGGTCTCCCCCCATGAAATTCAGCCTTTGTTTTTACCCTTTACTATCCAGGTTTCATGGGGGAGACCAGCGTTTCTCCAATTGGAATTGTAGGGGGGGAACAAGGTTATTTTAGGGGGGTTACGGTAGTTGCTCAGCTCTGGGCAGTCAGAGTAGCAGCTGCTGACCGAGGCTGACAGCAGCACAGAAAGAAGGGAGGCCGTATTTCGGCACGGGTGATGGCGCTGGCGCTGCCTTCCGAGCTGGGCTCCCAGCCAGCAGCCACCGCTCCCCAGCCACACAGCTCTGAAGGCAGCACCTTTGCCAGCAGCAGCATGGATGGAAGAGTAGCAGAACTGCCCCCCACACACCAAATACCTTTGTGACTAGGGATGTTAAATTTAGTTTAATCAACTATTTATTTATTAACTTATTTATTTATTTATTTATTAGTTCCCATAATAGAAGCGACTAATCAATTAGTTGATAAGTGGGAGAGCCGGCCTGGGAGCTAAGCCCTCTGCGGCTCTGCCTTTTACATGTATTAAGAGCCGGCAACAGAGGTGCAGTGTCTGGCACCAGGCACGAGCCGGGAATCAGCTGATTCCCTACTTGCACCCGGTCCCCGCTACCCCCCTGTCTCCTCTGCCCCTGTGGAGACAGTGCTGGGGGGGGCAACAGAGGTGCAGTGTCTGGCACCAGGCACGAGCCGGGAATCAGCTGATTCCCTACTTGCACCCGGTCCCCGCTACCCCCCTGTCTCCTCTGCCCCTGTGGAGACAGTGCTGGGGGGAACCGGCTTTTAAGCTGGCTCCCCCCAGTACTGGCTTTTTTCCCCCCCCCCTTTCTGCCCCCACTAATTGACTAGTCACTGGATTTTTTTCAACTAATCAATTAGTTGATAAGTGGGAGAGCCGGCCTGGGAGCTAAGCCCTCTGCGGCTCTGCCTTTTACATGCATTAA